AGTATGTCTCATTGAATAGCCAGAACCTGGAAACAACCTAGATGCCCTTCAGTTGAAGAATAGATAAAGAAATTGTGGCACATTTGCATATTAAAGTACTACTCAGCAGTAGAAAACAATATCTTAAATTTTACATACAAATGGATGGAACTAGAAAACAGTATCCTGAGTAAGGAGGTAACCCAGATCCAAAAAGATGAATATGGCATGTACTCACTCATAAGTGCATACTAGCTATAAACAAAGGATATTGAGTCTCTAGTTCATGATCCTAGAGAAGCTAAGTAATAAAGTGAACCCAAAGAAAAACATATAGATCCACCTGGAATGTTGAAACATACAAGATCACCTGATAAAATTGGGAGTATGGGGGCCGGGGTAGAAGGGAGGTTGGACAGGGAAGAGGAGGGGAGATGGGGAGTAACGAGGAGAAGATGAGGGAATGGGAGAGTCAAGATGGAAAAAGGACAGAGATGAAAGCAATGAAAGCAATATCTTGATTGAGGGAGCCATTATGGGTTGGCAAGAAACTCGGCTCAAGAGAAATTCCCAGGAATCCACAAGGATGACCCTGGCTAAGACCCTAAGCAATAGAGGAGAGGGGACCTGAATTGGCCTTGCCTTGTAGTCAGACTGATGAATATCTTAAATGTTACCACAGAACCTTCATCCAGCAACTGATGGAGACAGGGGCAGAGACCTGGACAGAGTTCAGGGCACTGGACCGAGCTGCCAAAATCCAGTTGAAGAGTGGGAGGAATGAGGATATGAACAAAGAGGTCAAGATCATGATGGATAGACCCATTGAAACAGTTTTTCTGAGCTAATAGGAGTTCACCAACTCCAGCCAGACTGGGAAGGAACAAGCATAGGACCAAACTAGCCCCTCTGAATGTGGGTGACAGTTGCATAGCTGGGGCAGACTGAGGGGTCACTGGAAGTGGCACCAGGATTTATCCCTATTGTTTGTATTGGCTTTTTGTGAACCCATTCTCTTTGGATGGATACCTTGCTCAGCCTAGATATAGTAGGGAGGACCTTGAACCTTCCACAAAGCAGTGTGCCTTACCCTCTCTGAGGTGTGAATGAGGGTAGGGTAGGTGGGTATGTTGAGGGAATGGGAGGAGGGTAAGGAGTGGGAACTTGGATTGATATGTATAATGCAAAAAGATAGTTTGTTTTCTTTTTTAAAAATTAAAATTAAAAAAGAAAGGCTATTTGTGTGTGTGCATGTGTGCACACGCACGTGCGCACATGTGTGAATGTGTGTGTATGTAGCCTGCATTCTACTTGTTCTCAATAATAAAAATCCAGAGTTAGGTATTAGGGGGTGAATGCCAATAGATCAGAGAAACAGAGCAGCCAGTCACTATAGAGTTCTTACATCTACCAGTGCACAGACCAAAGGGGTGATCCTGTCTCTATGAATCTTTAGACCGCTGCTATCTCTACAAAACCTCAGACTACATGCTCAGAATTAATCTTCAGACTGCATCTGAGCTCTTTTCTGCTCCTGCCTTATATCTCTCTGCCCAGCCATATCACTCCTGTCTCCAGCCTCCCTAGTGCTGGGATTAAAGGCGTGTGATCACAAGTGCTAGGATCATATTTATGTGAGTTCTGTTACTCTTTCAGACAGATTTAATCTCATAGTTTAGGGTGGTTTTGAACTTACACAGATCCATCTGCATCTGTCTCCTGAGGACTAGGACTGGGATTAAAGGTGTGTGTTACCACTGCCTGACCTCTACGGCTAACTAGTGGCTTAGCTCTGCACTCTGATCTTCAAGCAAGTTTTGTTAGATTACAAACAAAATCTCTCTCCCTCCCTCTCTCTCAGTGTGTGTATGTGTGTGTGTGTTTGTGTGTGTGCATGTGTGTCTATTAATTTTTTATCTGGCCACTTTGGTAAGAGTGTTTATCTGTACCAAGAATTATTGGTGGGATCTCCAAGGAATCTTACCTGTAGAAACAAATTGTCTACAGAATAAGATACTTTAAATTCCTTGTTTCCTATTTGGATCTCTTTCACTTGTTTTCCTAATCTTCCTGTCCTTGCAGTATCTTATTCCTTATTGTAGTGAAAAGCTTTAAATTCTTACACATTTAATATCATGTGGACCAGAGGTTTGTCATGTACAGTCTTTATGTTAAGACATTCTCCTTCTATTTTGAATTTCTTTAAGACTTTTAAAAATTTATTTTTTAATTATATATACTTGTGTGGGAAAGCGTTGCATGTGATTAAAGAAGCCCTCTGAGATTAGAGACATCAAATTTTCCTGGAAAGAGAGTTAGAGAGAGTTGTGAACTGCCTGAACAGGGTGCTGGCAACTGAAGCTGTGTACTCTTCAAGAGCAGTATGTGTTTTTAATTGGGTTGTTTTCTAAGTTTTTTTGAATTTTTTTGTATGTTCTAGAAAGTAAAACCCTGTCAGATATGTAGCTTATAAAGTTTACTTCCCATTCTAGGCAGTCTACTGAGTACAACTATGGTGTCTTGATGAACAAAGAGGCTTAGATTAATTGTTGCTCTTTTTTTCTTATTTGGTCTGATTTTTTTATTTGAGATAGGGTTTCTCTGTAGCTTTGGTGCCTGACCTGGAACTTGCTCTGTAGAGCAGACTGGCCTCGAACTCACAGAGATCTGCTTATGTCTGCTTCCAAAGTACTGGGATTAAAGACATTTACCACAACAGCCAGGCTAATTGTTGCTCTTTCTTTCTTTCTTTCTTTTTTTAATTGATATTTATTGATTTCTACATTTTTCTCTGCTCCCTCCATGTCTTAATGTTCACATGACTGAGGTCTTGTTCGGAGTCCCTTTCTGTACCAGTGAGTTCAATCATATTCTTGGCTTTCTCCACTGTTAGTTTTTCAGGTTATTGAATCTTATATTAATATTCCTGATACATTTTGTGGTTATGCTTTGTGCAGCATGAGAGACAGGGATATAGTTATATTCTACATGTATTCTACATTCCACCCAGTTTAGCTAGCATCATTTGAAGGTGTTACCTTTCCTGAAATGTGTATTATTTACTTCTTTGTTAAACAATCATGTGGCTCTTGAAGTGTGGGTTTAATTATGAAGCTGAAGGTAAATAGATGGAGTTCAAAAGTCACTGTGAGAGAGTTAGCCCTAACCCAGAAAGACAGTTGTCACATTTCTCTCATTTATAAATGTTAGTTTTTAATCTTCAGATAGTTGTTTCATTTCAAATACTCACAGAGGTCAATTAATTAGTAAAGGCACCAAAGGAGTACTTTTAACTGACAGTAGATATATCACAGAGGTATAAAGGGTTACTCTGGAATAATGGATCAGGAAGTGGGTAAACTGAATAGATGATATGATGAGAACAGGATAGATGAAGAAGTAGGGGCATAAGCAGCACTAAAGAGTTTGAATAAAACTTATGGTTAGCTAATAATGTTCCTAAAATACAGACACACACATATTGTAAAAAAATATATAAATGGAATTACCCTACAACAGGGTGGCATTGCCCCTATTAGACAACACGGGCCAATAAATAAAAACCCCATATATATATATGTATATATATATACATATTCAGGCTTATACAACACATCTGCAAGGTATAATTTTAGTTAATATATCATAAGTCATTACATTATTTTATATTTGTTTACATTAGAAATTAGTGAAGGATCTGAGTAAAGATTTTAGCAAATGTTATTTGTTTTTGAAAATATGTTTTTTATGTATTTACATATGTAAAATCTTATATATTTCTCACCTACTTTTGTAGTCATGTAATTAATGTGTATCAATAGAATACAGTGAAAATAAATTAATTTTTCCTGCCATTAAGTTGCATAGCAATCACATTTATATATTTGAAAAACAAATAAAATATTATAGATTTAATAAAGGAGAAAGTAAGCCTAGTGCTTGCTAAAGATCATCCAAAATTCTGCAAGACACTTGGAATACTTTAAACCTCTTTTACCAAACAGTTTTGTGCTCAAGAAGTCATCTAAATGTGTAACTTTAAGGTGACTATAGCAATATTCTCTTCAACAACAATTGGCAATATATAAATGCTCTACATTTAGGCTAAGACAAAATTATAAGCAAATACTAGTTACTTCAATTAAATACGTGGTTTGGGATTTATTTTCTGAAAAGATGTCTTATTGTATAAAGAAGATCGTTGTCAAACTCACTGTAATCCTCCTATCCTAAGTGAATTAAAATGGTGAGTCACAATGCCCAATTAAATATGAGCATATTTAGAAAAATTACAATTGAAAGTAAAAATAAATTTCTTATAATTCTGTTGTATATGAAGCAGTAAAATGTACAATAAAACCATCACATAATGATCTTCTCTATATGTGGTTTTAAATAAGTTTTCTTTTGTCAGATAGAGAGTTAACATCATACATTGATAATACTGGGTTGAAAAAAAGCTTAATAACTTAATACTTTTTAAACAAAATTTTCTTGAAAATAATATAGTATAAAAACAATCATGAGACTTACAACAATCTACTTCAGCTTTTGATATATTTGTTGCTGCTGTCATTTACTTTCTGAGACAGAGTCTCACTTATTTGCTAGGCTAGCCTTAAACTGCTGGCTTCAAGACATGCTCTCACTTTAGACTCCCTAGGACGCAAGATTCTAGGTGTAGCACCATGCCCAACTAAAACAGCCTGCGATGACTATACATCTTACCAAAGCTTTGTTTGTTTAGTCAAAAGCGTGCTGAGGTGCACTTGTGGAGCATAAGAACATGGGGAGCCACAATGAAAGGACAGCTTTCAGCTTTCAGTTCTCTTCTGCCACCATGTGGGTCCTGGAAGTCAAACTCAGGTTGTCAGCCTTCACTCACTGAGCACCACTACCAACACTCAAGGTTTGAATATCCATCCACAGTAGGGACCACAGATACTAACTATCGAAGACGGACCAAAGATATTGATAGTGAAAGCGACGCTAAAAAGGAAGAAAAGGAGCTCCAGCTTGGATTGTTTTCATTCAATTTTATCCACAGTTTGCATCGGTAATATACATTTAGTGTTCCATTTTTTTAAATGCATCAGAAAATCAATTATGATAAATCTGTGACTAATACAAACATTTCTGAATTCTTCAAAAAATTCAGTTAGAAAAGTCATTAAACTAGCATTCTATAAAGATAAGTATTAAACAAATGGTTACGCATTTTTACTCATTTCAATTCAAACATTTCCAACATCACTTCTTCCTTGTGCCAATGTGGTCATAAAGTTTAACAGAAGTAGCTATCTCGTGATATTTTGGGCCCAATAAGATATTCTTTGTTTATTCAATCTTCCTCAAATCACAAAGCCATTCAAATAATGATAATCATTCTTAATTCGATAACTGATGAAGTAAATATATAATAAGTCATAGAAAACATTTAGGATAAAATTTACACTAAAAAGTTACTAACAGAAATATGGCAGGGTCTTGGTATGAGGTTGTCATTGTGGACTATGCTGAAACTGCATTAGAAGAGATATTGGTATTGCCTTTTGGCACAATAATAATTGAACTGCTGTGTTACAGGCCCCAAGGGGACCCATCTTGAAAAGCATTTTTATTTGTTATCAAGTATGAGCACTGAAGTTCAGGTGTGTTTTCTCAATAAGGTAATAGGTAACTGACAAGTGAAATGTAGTAAAAAAAATTGCCTAAAGTTTCACAACTATTTCAATAATAACAAAGCACATAATACTTGGAAAATAACACAAGATTGATTAATAAGAGAATTTTATAGCACAATAATCATGATAGACGTATGAGTGATTGTTTTGGTTGTTAAACTTTTTGAAATTTATAATGCTGTCAACTGTCTAAATTAAAAATTCATCAGCTAAGGTACTTCCTAAATTACCTATATTATCCAAATTTTCGCTAAGGAGTTTCATTATGTCAATGGGAATATTTTTCAGATCCAATGATTTAATCATATCTAATTAGATCAAATATTTAAATAATAAATTATCAATAATTTATTCTTTAAAACTTACAGTAATAAAAAACCTTTCACTCTTCAATAGTTCCGATTTGACTCATGGGGACTAAAAAGAAAATATCTATATTCTGAAGCCAAGATTAAAAAATATGGTTCCATGACAACTGACCAAAATAATGTAGAATTATTCCTAAAATCAATCCTTACCATAGTATTTGGCACATGACATTTTACATTTTATAAATTTCCTTTGAAATACCCAGGCCAATGGTTTTATTAAGTTGCATCCATATTAAGAGGTAACAAGTGCAAATAATCACACAGTTAGAAATGATACTTGTTTGGCTACTGCAAAAGTGAATATGAAGGCTCTTCTATAGGAAACTGAGTTATTCATCACAGTAATGTTTTGGAAAAATTTCAGCACTACTATCACCATAAGTTTATCCATCTTCAAATCAAGCAAGGTCTTTACTGAACATACTATTTCATGAAACAGAATGTGTTTAATTCAACATCAGTTTACTTGAGGATCACAAGAAATGCATGATCCAGAAATGGCCAAATTGTGAATCAAAACCTGCTTCTCAATGGCGGCTCTTTTAATATGGAAGGCAGCGCTTACGTACTTAATGTCCTTATAAGTCAAGATATAAACAAGAACACTGACAGTTACATCAAAATGTCCTTGACAATTAGTACTTCCCTAGCCTTCCAAAGTCTTACTGCTTTGTGTAATGTTTGCAACACAAAAATAAAATACTCTTCAGATAAAAGAATTTAAAAGATGATTATGCTTTTGCAAAATTAAATAGCATAAATTAAGCATATTAACATTTTTGACAACATGAAAGAACCAATTTAAGAAAAAACTGCACTGGGTTAACTAAGAAACCAGCAATGTGAGGTGCATTTAAACCCTCACATATTATTGACCGTACAAAACCTACCAAAATATTTAAAAATTCCATTGATTCTATTAATACATAAAAAGAAATTGCAAAAATGCTTAAGACTATTTGAGATTCATCAATTACACAGGCACTTCACATGTAAACAACCTACAATATAAATGAAAATATTTTGGCACCAACTGATAATACTAAAAAAATTGAATAATGCCAAGGTTTTGTTTTCTTCTATTCATTTTTTTCCTAGGAAACAAAACAAAATATTGAAGAAATTGTGTACAAAGCAGGAGTATATGGAAAAACTCAAATATTGAATTGTTTTCCTAAATTATTACTTTTACCCAGATGATTACTAGTATACAGTGATGCAAAAAATTCAACTTCATGTGATTATTAAATTTAAAGCATGTTTTAAATTTTGTATCAATTTGCATTTTGAAAATCAGTCAAGGTTCTTGAATGACATATTAAAAGGAGAATTTCAATTTTCAAAATCTTATATAAATTAATCCAATTTTCCTCCAAAAGTTATTTGGACAACTCAGTTTATATCTGAGATCTTAACGTAATTCTGAAAAAAGAAACCTAAGGCAAACTATTTTTTTTACTGAACATTCTTCATGATTTTGAGATATCTGAAATCATTTCAAATACATGAAATTATTCATGTGTGTGTTTTTTTTTAATTGTCAAATCAAGCCATAGAAAGCTGAGATGCCTTGGTAGTAGGCAATTCAAGGAGTGCCTGAACTGTAACACCAACTTTCACAAGCCCTCGTTCTTCCAAAATATGGTGAGGCAAGCAGAGTCTCTCCTGGGGAAAGAGAAAAACAATATTTTAAGTCTGGAACCGATTTTAGAATTTTGCTTATTAAATTATTAATTTTATTTTTTGAGATTGCAATTGCACCATTTCATTTTCCCCTTCTCTTCCCTTCCTCCAAGCCAATCCACATCTCCCTTCTCTTCAACCCAAAAAAACAGTCTGGTTATTCAAAATGATTTATTAATTAATGACTTTTATATAGAGAAATGTTTTATCAGCTGCACACCAGAAGAAGTCAATGGATTTCATGGGAATACAGTTATAGACAGTTGTGGACTGCCATATGGGTACTGGAAATTGAACTTAGGTTCTCTGTAAAAGTAGCTGGTGCTCTTAACTGCTGAGCCATTTCTCCAACCCCAAGAAACAGATTTTCAAAATATAATTTCTATTCAAATTAAAGGAAATAATACAATAATTCAACATTTTTTCTTCTTAATTATACTATAAAATGTGGTTAGGTTCACACTTGAGCCTAAGGAAGGGATTCTAGAGATTAGCTTGGTTTCTAACAACATCAGTGCACTCCACTCAGAAGCAGACTGCTGAGGACTGTGTCACCACTATCTTACACCTGCCTCTGAAGAATCTGCTCACAAAAGATGCTCTGTTAAAAGTCACCACCACCTTCTTAAAGATCACACAGTACCCATACATATTCGACTAACTCTGTTACATCAATCTTCAACCAGTTCTTTCCTTGAACTCTCGTCCCTGCTTTCTTTTCTGTGATACCAGCCTGTTTAGTTCTTCACCTTGCCTATGCAATTGAGCTTTCAATTACAGTAGTCTTTACCCATCTTCTTTTAAAGTCCTACATATTGTCAAGAATTTTACACTCACTCTTCTCTTTTTTCACTACACCACCCCTTAGTATTGTGTCTAATAATTTTAATTCTCATTTCCACCCTGAATTCCAAATCTTTATTTCTACTAAAGGTACATCAAGCAATGCTAGTGAGCCATGACCAAATATATGTCCTACACATACATCTAAATCAACATATCCATGAAAGAACTGCTTCAAGAAATAAAATTATCTTTTGGAATTTGTATCTCAGACATTTTTCAAAATACACTGATACAAAAATATTAAGTGTAAAAGACTCCTCCTCCTTAATTACTTCTATAATCAACTTAGTATTCATCAAATATTACTAAAGATAGCTAAAGCAGCCTCAAAATGACATTCATATATCCAGTTTCATTGTTAAAACTGGTGTTCTTCTAGTATTTTACTCAAAAATTCAAATAATCAATATTATTATAAAAAGTTTCAAAGTAAAGACAATAGCAACCTTCATAGAAACTACAAAAAGAACATATTAAACCAATGCGGAACAACTAGGTATTCTGCATATATGTTACAGTTGTATAGCTTGAGCCTCTTGTAGGACTCCTAACAGTGGGAAACAGGGACTGTCTCCAACTCTTTTCTGGTTTTTGGGACCCTACTCCTCATGCTGGAATGCCTTGCCCAGTCTTAACATGAGGGGATATGCCTAGTCTCACCAAGTGGTAGGTGATGCACACCTTTAATCCCAGCACTTGGGAAGCAGAGGCAGGCAGACTTCTGTGAAATTGAGACCAGTATGGTCTGTAAAGTGAGGTTCAGGACAGCCATGGTTGCACAGAGAAACTCTGTCTAGAAATAAATCAAAAAACAAACAACAACAAACTAAAACAAAAACAACCAGATCACAATAAAAGAAGAGGTTATTTGTTTTATTTTTTTTTTACCTCAAAGGAAAAATATGATTTATTCTGGAACATATAGGATTAAACAGAGCCCAGGGACATACATTTAGGTTCCCCAAATCTAATATTCCACATGGAATCAGTTTAGTGTAGCCTTACAGTAAAGGAACAAAGAAAGCCATCAATATGGGTAACTTTCAAATGCAGTGGTGGGTGCATCAGAGAGGCAGTGACACAAGGTGGGACACAAGTCTCTCCAAAAGGCCTCAGTGCTATCATAGGGTAGTGTTGAGTTTGGGGTTAGTGGAAGATAGTGATCTGCTAAGTTAATAAATTCCAGGTTTTTAATCTAATAAACATGGAAAAATTGTATCACCATAGAGGTGGGGAATGCATGCCTATTGGCGTCGTGGCTAAAACTAGAAGAGTTTATTTATATTCATAAAAATGATTGGAGGAAAGGGAGTGGGATAATGACATAATAAGATTGTAAATACATTGATAAATATATGTTAGCAACAAAGGACCAGATGTTGAATTAATATCCAAATTAACTGTGAATGAAATTCAAGAAGACTCCAGTAAGGACATACATTGTTCACAGAAGTTAAGAAGAAATATTGTTTTATTAGATACTGCATGATTTCAAAAATTTATGAAGAGAAACCAATGCAATTATGGAGCAAAATATGATTAATGAAACTAAACAATTAAACCAAAAAATGGATCACAGACACACACACATACATAGCCCGTGACACAGAAGAAAGGTAGATGAATACAGAGAAAACGGGATTTCATGCAAGAGACTATGCAACTATAAGAAAGTAACTAAGGAAAATGCATCAAATCACTGGATGGACAGTGATGGAAGACCCATAGATCACCTGGTGTGATATTTTAATGAATCAGAATCAGGATTTAATAAAGATATCTTAGTAGCCAGTGAAATCATAATAGAAGGTAAAGGACTTAATACTTTCTCTGAAATAAAAAAAAGACCTCTGATGGCACTACCAGTGTTCCTCATATGAGTGAATCCAGTCAAAACACTTAGACAAGAAGAAATGAACAATGTTCAAACTGAAAACACTACACTACTACACTTATATAGGTTTTTTAGGTTATAGATTATAGGTTTTTTAGGTTTTAGGTTATAAAATTATATCCTACTTTCAGATAGAAGTGAGTTTGGCAAGACTGAAGAGTAAAAGGTCAGGTGTATCTCTACATAATAGTAATAAAAATCTGAAAAGTTTTCAAATTGAGATAATAATTGCATTATAGTAGAATAAAATGCTAGACTTAACATAACCAAAGAGGCAAAGTCCTCACATGAGGAAAACTATAATGCGCTGTTTAAATTGATTTTAGAAGGTGTCAGTTAATGAAAAGACATCTCAGGTACCTGGACGAAAAATAATGTAGAGAAAACAGCAGAATCTACAACAAAATCTAAGGTGGTCATTTTGCAGAACTTGGCAAACTAATGCTAATATTGATATACTGATATAGAAATGCAAAGGAATCACTACAGCCAGAATAACCTTAAAATTGAATAAAACATGAGCATCCACACTGTCTTCCAAATGTCCCAACAGGCTACAGTCACACAGGGTGTTGCTGCCATAAAGAAATCAGTGTGGAAAACAGGAAGCAAAGAAGTAAAGCCTTCCACTTATGAACAACAGATTTGTGACAGGAGTGTCAAGACAATTCAGTGAAGAAATATGAGTCTTAGCAACTACTTGTGCTGGGAAAAGTAGATACTGAGACCCAGGAGAATAAATTTGTAACCCTATCACACACCAAACACAAAACTGACATTTAAAATGAAGTATACACCTAAATAACACTGTCGAACTTTTCTGAAAACATATAGATATAAATAAATACTTACAACCTTGTATTAGGCAGTGCTTTTTTACAAATAACATGAAAGCTATAGGGAGGGAAAAAGTGGGGTTGGGGACTATACTTCATCAAACCATTTTTTTTTTTTTGATTTTCAAGACAGGGTTTCTCTGTGTAACAGCTCTGACTTTTCTGGAATTCACTCTATAGACTGTATTCAGCCTCAAACTAACAGATATTCTACTTCTGCATCCTGAGTGCTGGAATTAAAAGTGTGCAAAAATTCTCAACAAAATCCTGGCAAACCGATTCCAAGAACACATTAGAAAAACTATCTATTATGATCAAGTAGGCTTCATTCCAGAGATGCAGGGCTGGTTCAACATACGCAAATCTATCAATGCAATCCATCATATAAATAAACTGAAAGAAAAAAAACATATGATAATTTCATTAGATGCTGAAAAAGCATTTGACAAAATCCAACATCCCTTTATCATAAAGTGTTGAAGAGATTGGGGATACAAGGATCATACCGAAATATAATAAAAGCTATTTACAGCAAGCCGACAGCTAACATAAAACTGAACGGAGAGAAACTCAAAGCCATTCCATTGAAATCAGGAACAAGACAAGGCTGTCCACTCTCCCAATACCTCTTCAATATAGTGCTAGAAGTTCTAGCAATGGTAATACGACAACATAAGGGGATCAAGGGGATTCGAATTGGAAAGGAAGAAGTTAAACTCTCGTTATTTGCAGACGATATGATAGTATACATGAGCGACCCCAAAAACTCTACCAAAGAACTCCTACAGCTGATAAACACCTTTAGTAATGTGGCAGGATACAAGATCAACTCCAAAACATCAGTTGCCCTCCTATACACAAAGGATAAAGAAGCAGGGAGGGAAATCAGAGAAACTTCACCTTTCACGGTAGCCACAAATAGCATAAAATATCTTGGGATAACTCTGACCAAGGAAGTGAAAGATCTATTTGACAAGAACTTTAAGTCTTTGAAGAAAGAAATTGAGGAGGATACCAGAAAAAGGAAAGATCTCCCTTGCTCTTGGATTTGGAAGATCTACATACTAAAAATGGCAATTCTACCAAGAGCAATCTATAGATTCAATGCAATCCCCATCAAAATCCCATCAAACTTCTTCACAGACCTTGAGAGAATAATAACTAATTTTATATAGAAAAACAAAAAACCCAGGATAGCCAAAACAATCTTATATAATAAAGGAACTTCTGGAGGTATAACTATTCCTGACTTCAAACTCTATTACACAGCTACAGTATTGAAAACAGCTTGGTACTGGCATAAGACCAGAGAAGTCGACCTATGGAATCGAATAGAAGACCCAGATATTAACCCACAAACCTATGAACACTTGATTTTCGACAAGGGGGCTAAAGGTATGCAATGG